TCAGCATCTTAGCTGTAGAGGGCAGTGTCACTGGCCCTCATATGTGGGATCCGAACTGGGGCCCTCTCGCGTCCCAAGCTAGCTCTTAACCATTGCGCCATTTGGCTGGCCCCAATAAATATATTTTAACCACCTGTTATGTGTAGGGTTGAGTGTTCAAAGGTAAGACAGCTCTATGCCAAAGGAAATATTTGTTTACTGATTGGATTATACTTGACAGTTTTTAGGGAACCTTTTATGTTTGGCATAAAGGAGACATATTCTTGCTCAGTGCAGGCTGTAAAGATGGGAGTAGAAACACATTGTCTTATTCATGCTTCCAATGGCAAGTGGCAGATAAAACATCCCGTGACACCATGTCATCTGATGATCCTAGGTTTGATTATAAGCAAGTCTTTTATTTCCAGAGAGAAATGAGTTCCAAGAAAAAAAAAATCATAAAATTTTTTTTCTTAATATTATTCCAAAGTGGGAAAAAAGATGAAGAAAATAAATTGTGGAAATGATGAGGAAAACAAAAACATACTCTAGAAAAAGTGAAAATAAGTTATTGAGAAAAAACAAAAATTTCCTTCAACATGAGAAGAAAAAAATAAGATCAAAGACTGGCAATACAATTATTTTAATTAAACACAAAGAATGAAGATGTCCTATGATGAACTGCACAAAAAGATACTATTTTCTGATCTAAACTCTCTCCTATTCAGAAATTTTCTCAGGGCAAGTTTAATGTCTTTGTTTCTTAAGCTGTAGATTAGAGGATTCATCGTGGGAACTGCATTGGTGTAAAAGACAGAAGAGATCTTTCCCTCATTCATAGACCCAGCAGAAGATGGTTTGAGGTACATAAACGCACATGATCCAAAGAACAGAGAAACAGCAATGATGTGGGAACTGCAGGTGCTGAAGGCTTTGGCCCTGCCTTCCTTGGAGCTGATGTGTAGGATGCTGGAGAGGATGAAGCCATAAGAGGCAAATATGGTCAGACTAGGCACAATGATATTAATGCCCACTACAATGAAAACTACCAGCTCATTGATGTAGGTGCTGGTACAGGAGAGCTGGAGCACAGGGAGGATGTCACACAAATAATGGTTGATGGTGTTTGCATCACAGAAAGTCAGTCTCAGCATGCACCCAGTGTGGGCCATAGAACCAGAAAATGCCATCAAGTATGAACCAAGCATAAGGTTGGAACACACTTTAGGGGACATGGCACTGTTATACAAAAGTGGGTTACAGATGGCCACATAACGATCATAGGCCATTGAAGTCAGCACATAACATTCAGAAATAGCAAAAAGACAAAAAAAGTAGAGCTGGGTCATGCATCCCATGTAGGAGATAATGTTCTTCTTTGATGTGAAGTTAATCAGCATTTTGGGTGTAAACACAGAAGAATAACAGAAGTCTATGAAAGACAAGTTAAAGAGGAAAAAGTACATGGGAGTGTGTAGGTGTGAATTTAACACAATTAGAGTTATCAAACCCAAATTTCCCAACACAGTGACTATATACATTACTAGAAAGAGGAAGAACAGGGGGAGTTGGAGCTCTGGTTGGTTTGTTAAACCCATGAGAATAAATTCAGTCACAATCGAGCCATTTCCAACAGCCATTCTTCTCCAAGGACATCTGTGGACACAGGAGAAAAGGGTTACGAGGAGAACAACTCATATCTTCCTGTAATATCTCATCCTACAAGTGAGTGTACACCCTGTGAATGCTTGAGACTAGCCCAATATGGACCCATACTATCTACCTTTACCATTACCATGATACTGAGTGACTCTAACTTAAACTTAGTGGAAGGCTATTTCCAATTTTTTGGAAATATTATTTCCCTTAATAAGATAAATATAGCAAAGGGCATCACCAACTGAGTGTACAGAGGGAAGGTTGTTCTTCCATATGCAAACATGACTGCTGGAAAAACCGAGATAAGCAAGAAATTTGGACAAGGATAGAGCTGTTCTTTCATCTCGACATTTCTTTATTCACTTCAACCCTCCGCTCACTAGTAAAATTCAAGGAAGTAACACAAGCAACCTAGTGCTGGACTCTAAAGTAGATTAGATTAGCCATAGTGAGGTAAGGACCAAGATCACTGTTTCAATTAAGAGGACAGTGTCTAGGAGAGGTTAAGTTATTGTCCCATGTCACTGAGTGAAATCCACAAATCTGTTGCAGTGAGAATTTGATCCATGGACAGGGGCCTTATTGACTGAGATACACTCTGATCCTCCAGTGTCTCTGAAACTCTCTGATCACCCCTCAAACAAAATTTTCTACCAGTTTCACTTGAATCTTGGAAATGCATAAAATGCAAAAAAATGGGCATATCTTGCATCCCTGGACTTTCATCTCAAGACAAAGAATATACATATTATAATTAATGGTATTCAGAAACTCACCCTTCTTAGGTCAGAAATTCATAGTGCTCTCTTTTCTTTGCTACTTATCCTCGTGGTCCTGGAAAGTCAATTTCAGGCTCTGAGGCTTGGACACCTTTGATTCCAAGAGGATACAGCCCAGACATGAATTCAGATAAGCCCTGTAAATGTTTCTGAACTGCAGATCATCATTTCTGATTATGACTTTGAGTCCTCTCAAGTAGCAGAGAAGAATAAAGCCTTTAGTAGTATCACATTTGCTACTTGATTATATATAGAAAATTCAATGTGTTTAATGATTTAATGCACTTGGTTATAAACAGGGTAGAAGCTCGCTCAGTCTTTTCCACAGGGAGCGTAAAAGAGAAATATGGTGATTATATATCTGGACTATGATCTATCATTAGTTCTTTAGGGATTCACTTCACTCTAAGGATTGTACCTCCCTCGATGCATACCCAAAGTAAACTCTCATATCTCTATTATCTTCACTTATGAAGGGAAATCTGCTGTATTTTTTTATTCCCTACTTATTCCTTATTCTAAATGGGAATATTTTCTGCAAGTGTTCTGCATCCATTCTTCCTCATTTCTTCAACTGAGAATTTGTACATACTGTAGTAACTCACTCCAGTTGTTCTCTCACCTGGGTCATCTCCAAAATAATTTGCTATGTTGTACACATTTCTAAAGTTTAAAATTTTAAACACCTACTGGAAATTTCTAGCTGACTGTCCTGTTGTATTGTTATATGTAAAATTTGCATAACTGAGGTTATCAATTTCTTTTTATTATAGAAAAGACTAGGGGTTATAGTGTTTAAGGATAGGTATATGAACCTTACCTGCCTACTTCCACTCTTACTAACTGTAATGCCTTGGACAAATTACTGAACCTCTCTTTTCCTCTGGTTCATCTCAGTAACAAGGATGGTAAAAATGGCATTTTTCTATCACAATTATGGGATGTTGTGATAATTCAATGAAAAGAAATTGTAAGTAAAATGATGACAACAGTGCCTGGCATATGGTAAATAGTCATAGCGGTCAGTGCCATTATGTATGTTCTTACAAATTTCAGTAGATTCTCAATCATAACACTCCTCTGACATTTTTTACCTTAATTCTTCTGTTCCCCTATAAACTAAAAGTTTTATAAGGACAAACATCTCTTTCATCTTGTTTACTACTTTGCTTATGAAGCTAAGAACAGTGCAGAGTACATGGAAGAGCTCAATAAATATTTCTGAAAATCATGTTTTTCTTGGCTGAAACCTTCAGAACATTCCGCATCTCTCACATGCTGAGTAACAGTGTCTACTACCACAATGACCCTCATCAGTGTCTCAGCCACCACACAAATTTTGGCTTCTTAGGTACTCACTGAACTATAGTGCTGAACTACAGGGACTCCTAACTATTATTTTAGCATTGTCCCACATAACCCATATTATTTAGCCATGTACACTGCTGGTAGAACAAACTTTGAAAGCACAGCTCTAGCCTTCCCTGGTTTCAATGGTTCTCCATTACCCACTGGACAATTGAAATTTTGTAGGAATAGTACAAGCCTCAATACCATGATTAAGACCTGGTTAAAATTAAAGAAAAATTAAATCAGAGTTATATTTGATGAGAAACTATTAAAGAACTAGTCTGATTGATTTATGTATTTTGTACATATTAAGTGCTGTACAACCTTTTAACCTTCCCACCAATGTAAGAAAGACTGTTCCAGAATGTTTACATTTCCGAGACCACAGGATATAATGAAGAAAGAACACAGGCCAGGTGAACCAAAGATAATATTTATAATTTAAGTTTACATCTGCATAACTTACCTTCTCATCATGATAAATTAGTTTCTCAGTTCAATGTCTCCACAAATGGACCATGAATGTCAATAAGGTGTTCATTTGTTAAATACAATATTTTTATTTAATATCTCTGAAATGTAAACTTCAGCTTATGTTACCAGAAAATTTGTAGCTACAAGTTATAGATGGCTCAATCAAAAAACCCTTTAAATAAGTGTTTATTTTTCTCACCTAGCAATAAATGTAAAGTGTCCTGGGTTTGATTCAGCAACACAATACTCTCATCAAGTATTTAGTCTCTTTCATTTCACTGTCCTCAGTCTGTTGGCCTTAATCCTCAGACTTTTCACCTCCTGGTCACAAAATGGCTGTCATAATTCAAGGAATCTCTTCAGAACACATATATATCCAAAAACAATAGTAAGCCACAAGCTAAAAGAACTCTGTTTCTATATATTTTATATCATTAAATAAATAATCTCCAGAAGCCGATAGATGACCTTTTTTTAATGTCTCTTCAATCATATGTCTATGCCACATGGCCGACCTACCTGCAAGAGGTACTGACAAAATGAGTCTCCCATTTTCAACCTCTATCAAAAAAGAAAGTTTCTGGTATTAAGAAAGCTGGAGGGATGATAAATAACCTCACATTACACCTTAAATAACTAAAAAAAGAACAAATGAAACCCAAAGTCAGGAGAAGGAAGGAAATAATAAAAATCAGAGCAGAGCTAAATGAAATAGAGAACAAAAAGACAGTAGAAAAAAATTAACATAAGAAGAGCTGATTGACAAACCCTTGGTTAGACTCATTAAGATAAAAAGAGATAAGACACAAATAAATAAAACAGAAATGAAAGAGGGGAAGTTACCATGGATGCCACAGAAAAATAAACGATCATCCAAGAATACTATGAAGGACTATATGCCTCCAAATTCAGTAACCTAGAAGTAATGTACATGTTTTTAGAAATATATAGCCTTCCTAGGCTGAATCATGAAGAATTGGAAAATATAAATAGAATGATCAACAGTAAGAAAATTGAATCAGTCATCCAAAACCTTCCCAAAAGCAAAAGTCCAGGATCAGATGGCTTCACTAGTGAATTCTACCAAACATTCAAAGAGGATCTAATACCTGTCTTACTTAAACTCTTCCTAAAAATTGAAGAACAGACAATAATCCCTAATTCATTTTATGAGGTCAACATTATCCTGATACCACAACCTGGTAAGAATAACACACACACACACACACACACACACACACACACACACACAGAGAGAGATATTTCCTTTATCTTTGGGTAAAGAAAGAAGCCATTGTGAGCCAGATCAGTGAGTGGGGAGGGTGTTCCAATACAGTTATTTGTTTACTGGCTAAAAACTCCCTCACAGGCAGTGCCCTGTGAGCTGGTACATTGTCATGATGCAAGAGCCATGAATTGTTGGTGAAAAGTTCAGGTCATCTAACATTTTCACTTAGCCTTTTCAGCACTCCCAAATAGTAAACTTGGTAAACTGTTTGTCCAGTTGGTACAAATTCATAATGAATAACCCCTCTGATATAAAAAAGAGGTTAGCAACATCATTGCAATGAGTTTGCAAACTTGTCAGACCTCGTATATGAATCTTACATTCTTACTCCCCCTCTTACTAAGTATAATACCTTGGACAAATTACTAAATCTCTCGGTTTCTCTGGTTCATCTTTGTAATAGGAATGGTAAAAATTGCATCTCTCTCATTGGGATATTGTGATAACTAAATGAAAAAAATGTAAGTAAAATGATTACAACAATGTCTGGCTTATAGTAAATAGACAATAAAGGTCAGAAGTCATTTATGTTGCTATAAATTCCAGTAGATTCTCTATCATAACACTCTATCAGACTTCTTTTTTGCCTTAATTCTTTTTTTTTTTTTTAAGATTTTTATTGGGGAATTGGGGGATGGGAATAGTGCTGGGGAATTGGGGGAAGAGGAACAGACAAGTTGCTGTCTTTTTGTTCTTCAGTCTAGTTGTAGAGGACGTTGCTTCACTGGCCCAAGTTGGCACCATCATTGCATTCTTCCCAGGTGAGTCAGATCAGTCACCGGCCTCTGGATGGCCGCTCACGGAGGCTTGAGGGCCGCTCACGCTGGCTGCTGTCTACACACGGTAGCTTATGGCAACCCACTGCAGCAGGGGCTGCAGCCTACGCCCACGCCAGTGACTCACAGCAGCCCAGTTCCAGGTCGAGCTGTTGTTCAGCATCCCAGCTGCAGAGGGCAGCGTCACTGGTCCGCATATGTGGGATCCAAACTGGGGTCGTCTGGCATCCCAAGCCAGTGCTTAACCGTCGCGTCACTCAGCTGGCCCTGCCTTAATTCTTGTGTTCGTCTATGAACAATAAGTTTAATAAGGA